CTCCAATAAGGCAGCCTTGTCAAAGACTACAAAATCTCCTCTAGACACACAGCCCTGTAAATGGGAGTGCAGTCCTGAGGTAGGAATGTTCATATGGCTGCACTATAAAAGGATCCATCATGCTGGGAAGTTGGCATGGCTATTGGAATTACAGAATTTAGGAAACATTATTTAAAATCCTGAAAACAACCCGGTCCCAGATTTGCATAATTCCCTCCAGTCAGCTACTAAAAGCACATTCCTCATTTGGTTTTGAAATTCATTAAAGGTGAGCCTAAAAAATGGGAAAATAAATATATCCAAACATAATAAATATATCCAAACATAATTAATATATCCAAACATAATTAATATATACCAACATAATAATGCCCCCAACCCCTGGCCTGAGTGAAACACCTCTGTGGGTGACACACAGATTCAACCAGTGGGACCAACAATTCCTCTGCAAAAGGATTTGACAAAGTCCAGGGGCCCTGCTGGTGCTTGTGGCAACTGTGATGTGGAAAGCTGAGTGTTGAGAAACAATCTGAGATCAATAACAACTTGGCCAAGAGAGGAAAGAACCATGAAATGGTCAATCCATAACTCTACTGGATTTTGGCAGGTTTGAATGACAGACAAATGGCAGCAAATCAGATTGTTAAATCACTAATCCTGTCATTATTGCATCCTGTCACATTGCATAGATTTAGACATTAGAAAAAGAGTGTAAGGTAGGAGAGTGAAAAAAAAACCACTTAAAAGCCCAAATAGCCCAAGTTTGTGTTTTGTGGCTGGGTTTTTCTGCCCCAGGTCAGCTGTCAGAAGCTGCTGTTTGCAGCCCCAGCTGATGCTCAGGTCTCTGACCCTTTGTTATCCAGAAGAAACATCCCTTCTGTATAAATCTGTTGTGCAAGAATAAGATGAAAATGGACAGACTGAACAAAGCCTTGGTCTCTCAGACAAAGATGCCTCCACTTAGCACACAGGGCATCTTTCCACCTGATATATTCTTAAAGGCAACTATTCAATTACCATCTCCTCACAGGGTAAAAAGCATGGAAAAGCCATGGAATATTCCTTTTTTTTTTTTTTTTCTGAGCAGCACAGTATTCAGAGATGTTTTATCTACCACAGATACTAATCTAGGCAATATAATTTTAAAACATCCTTACAAAAAACCTTGAAGGGCACTTGAACCCTGTGGTTGTTTAAAAAAAGATTTTCTGCAGTTTATGCATTTGCTCTGCCAAAAGCTTACCTTAGCATACAAAGTACAGTAAATCATCCCTGCTCTGATTTACTGCCCACACTGGGCTGTTTGTTTGCAGGGACGGCTCAGGGAAAAGCTCTGTCAAAGTCTAAGAACATTCAGAGAAGGGGAATGGTTTTGCAAAGCTCCCACTGTGGCAACAACCTTTTCTAAGAGATCAGGGGAGGGGGAAAACATGCAGATGTGCATTTGCAGCAATTTTCAGGTGGGGTTTTTTTCAATACCATTGCAACTCAAAAATATTCCAAGCCCTTTGGAGGCACGATTTCATACCCCAAAACTGTTTAGCCTCAGTGCTAAAGGGCTGGCCAACTGAAATTATTGGACTTTGGGCCTGAATTCCACATTTTATGAGGCAGCAGAATACACAGATCTCAAAAAGGCAAAGGAGACAGCAGAGAAGTGGCAGAGAAAGAAGCTCTGGGTCAACTTGGTTATTTAGAACTGAGCATAGATTTTATTAGACCTAATCCATTTGGTAAGTCCCAACAGGAGGACAAAGATAAAGCCATATATCTGACATTCCTTTAAAAATGAGTAAATGAGAAGGGAAAAGATCAAAACAGTAGCTGAAAGCCTTCACTCCTGCTTTAACACCCAAGAAACAGTCATTAATAGAGATTTAAACTCAGCCTTCTCTAGTCTAAACATGTCACTGTTAATTACAAAGCTATTTAACTTTTGCACGAAATAAAGACTGCTATTAATGAAAGAAGAACCAATTAGCCTTTAATCTACACACTGTTTTTTAATCAAACTTTCTTTTGATCATCAGGCTCACTGCAGGATGTTTCCCTCCTCCCCATGTTGTCGTGGCTTCCGTGGTTGCTAATGGAAGAGATTTTTAAAGGGCTGCCTGATGGGGAGAACCTCCTCTGCAGGGCTGGAGCTTCCCTTCCCTCCCTTCCTGCCAGGGACAGCACAGCAAAGTGGAATTCTGTGTCCTGACTCCTCTTGGAGCAGCTGGAAGTAAAGGAGCAGCACTGAATGTGTCTGGAGGAACGTGGGACGGGAGAACAAGGAAACAGCAGAAAATACCGGAGTAAAGAAAAGAATTGGGAAAGGGAAGGAAAAAGGCAAAAGCAGGGAGGTGCCTCCAGGAATGAAAATGGAATTCAGTGCAGACTGCAAAGAATGATGAATGAGAGAATTTGCTTGTTGGCACAGGAATGTATTGTGGCAAAACAAAACAAAACAAAACAAATGGGATCAGGGCTCCATGTGTTCCAAACAAATGGGGTGACACAAAAAGGATCCCATCAGCTAAATATTGCTGTGCCTCCAAACTGTTGCTTGTAGGGTCAGAGAGTTTCAAGGAGGTTTTCTGTTTGTTTTGGGGTGTATTTTTTGCTCTGTGGTATCAAAACAATGAGACCAAGTCTCTGGGATCCATCACAATGGAGAACTCCCTTGACACCATTTCTCCCTCAGCTGCACTTGCTGCTCCCATCTGCAGGCAGGAGAGATGGAGGATGTCCCTGGGGCAGGAATTGTGCTGTGCTGACCATGCAGATAATGAAACACAAGGCCCTGAGTGGTGCACATGTAAACAGCAGAGAAAATGTCACTATTATCTGCTCTGTGTCAAACATGAAGCTCCTGCTCTGCCCAGATACCTCCTGCCTGCTCTGCATTAGCAAAACTTTGGTGTCTGCTGCTCTTTCTCCACCACAGAAAGACAAAATTTACCTGGCAGCAGCAGAACACTGAGTATTAATACCAACAGTAAAAAAAAAAACCTACTTTAAAATAAACATTAATGCCCTCAAATAATCAGAATCCTCAAGTAACAAACCCCTGCAGTGATTTATTGTTGCAAGCAGTATGGCAATTAAAAAATAAAAAAAAAATAGAAATCAATAGATGGCAGAGAGAAAAGTCATAATAAATATGCTCTGTGCCAGACAGGATTCTGAGTCACGGAATTCTAGACTGTTATTAATAAAAGTACGTGGAACAACTGCTGAAATGGTATTGACACCTAAGAATTTAGAGGTAAGTACACACTTAACACAGGGAGGATTTCACCAAAGACAATGGGTTACTATAGATGTTTTTCAGGACTTGAGTAACAGCACTTTGCACTTCAAAAGAGCAAATTATTACTCTTTCTGTAAAATAATTCCAGTGCCTTATCTCAAAAGGCTGGTGATTTTTCACAGTCCAAAGCCCCTTTAATGTAACTGTTTGGCATAAAGGTCATTTAAAATGAGATCAGGGTGCATCCATGTTTTTGAGATGCTCATATATTACAATGTAAATCCAACACAGGAACTCAGATAAAAACATCAACAGATATAGAAAGAAGCAGCTGCAAAGCACAAGGTCAAGATATTTAAACATAGCTGGATAGTTGTATCATTTTTATATTTAAATTATTCCATGGCATTCTAAATCTGCCACTAAAAATTGGATTCTGATGCTGATCAGAACCCCTTTGTGTTTTTCTTGTGTTATAATCCCACAACACAAGATCTGGACAAGAAATCCCAGCTCCACTCTCTTTTTGAGCAAAGTGTGGCACATGCAGAACACTCAGAAAGCTGCAATACTGAAAACATGTGACATTTTTAACTAACAGACTAATTGCTGAAAGGTCCATTTGGATTTTTGTCTCCCTCAAACTGGCCTAACACACTCCAGAGCTTTTTATTTAACTCACACAGGGTAGTTGGGACAAAGATCTTCAGAGGTTTGAGAAGCTTTAAAAAGTTAAATTATTGACAGGAACCATGGAAAACCAGTGAGATTTTAACTGTTCTTACCTGGGTAAGAAGTTTCAAAGGTAAGAGGCAGAAACTTTACACTGCTGCTGCTTAAACTGTGCCATAGTTTATTCCTCAGTGTTCTCAGTTCCCCTAATTTAACATTAGTGAATGCTTGCATTAATTACTCCCCAAAGCAAGCTCAGGTTCAGGAAAGCACTGAGGAACTTCATTAACTCCCTCCCCAATGATTTCAGCAAAATCTTACTCAGGCACTTCAAATGCATGTACCTGAGATGACCTGAAACGCTGGGGATCTGCAATTCTGACTGAAACCAGGGGGACCTGGAAGGTCTGAAAACCAGCCCTTAACAGAGTCACAGAATCAACTGGGCTTGAAAAGACCTCTGAGATCATCGAGTCCAACCTTTGACCCAACCCCACCTTGTCACCCAGCCCATGGCACTGATGCCTCATCCAGTCTGTCCTTAAACACCTCCAGGGACGGAGACTCCACCGCCTCCCTGGGCAGCCCATTCCAAGGGCTGATCACTCTCTCTGTAAAGAACTTCTTCCTGATGTCCAACCTAAACCTCCCCTGGCACATCTCAAGACTGTGCCCTTGTGTCCTATTGCTGGTTCCTGGGAGAAGAGACCAACCCCTACCTGGCTCCCCCCTGCTGTCAGGGAGTTGTAGAGTGATGAGGTCTCTCCTGAGCCTCCTCCTCTCCAGGCTGAGCCCCCCCAACTCCCTCAGCCTCTCCTCACAGCACCTGTGCTCCAGTCCCTTCACCAGCTCTGTTGCCCTTCTTTGGACCTGCTCCAGCCCCTCCATGTCCTTCCTGAACTGAGGGGCCCACAACTGGACACAGCACTCGAGGTGCTGCCTCACCAGCGCCGAGTCCAGGGGCAGAACCACCTCCCTGGTCCCGCTGCCACACTGTTGCTGCTGCAGGCCAGGATGGCAGCAATACACCCTCAATTTGCCCCCAGCCCCTCCCCAGGTGCCCGTGGCTGTGCCCTCAGGGCTCTGTACATACGGATGCAGTAGTCTCCGCTCTCGTAGTAGCCCGGGCAGCACTGGGATCTCCGCCGGTACATCGTCCTCAGCCCCCTCCGATAGGCGGTTTTATAACTGATCCTAAATCACAGGACACAAAGCCATTTGACACCATTGAAAATCGATGCCTCCCCTCACAATTATATTTGTGTTAAATTATGGTAAGGAGAGCATTCGATAATTATTTTTTAACGCGCCAAGGCTTTTGATATTAAAAGCCACGATAAAGAAAGGAATCGATGCTTGTTTGGAAACTTGAAATATAACTTGTGTTATGAACACGGGGCTCGTGACACTCAATCACTGGAGCTCTTTCTAGGGCTGCTGCTTCCTTAAAACATTTCCCCAGTCCTACTGCAAGGGCAAGGAGCTTCTTGGAGAATAAATGCTTTATTTCTGCACGTCAGCCAGGTCAGCCCTCATCGATGGAATGAACGGGATCTCCAGCAGAGACCACTGTGGCAGCTGCTACAACAAAATCACCACGGTGGGAACTGCTCTCAGGACACACCTTGGCAAGTTAACCCCAAGTGATTTGTTCCTGCTTGCCAACCCTTCCAAGGAACTCGGGCCTTGTAAAGTGACATCATAGTCCCAGTTCAGTATTTAAAGCTCCTTTCCCCCACCACAATGCTGCAGTCCCCAGAAATCAAAAGGTGTGAAGCATTCTGTAGCTTTTCCACTGCTGATTCACAGCATTAGCAGTGATCCCGCATTACAGAAGTTATATTTAAACTGCATATTTTACAGCAAACATTTCAAAACAGCTTTGCTCCTGTTAGTTTATGGAAATTACCTAAATTGAACAAAGCCTATTGTCCCCCGTGTTAGATAAACTGATGGAATTCACTCTGCTGCATTCCAATCTATACAATGCCCCAGAAAGTTCTGCAGCCTTGTTCAGTTCTAAACACTGTAACACAGAAGCTCCAACCCCACAGTCAGTGGGAAGGTGCTGAAGAGCCCATTTGCAAATGAATGCATGAAAGTTAAGAGACCAACTGGCTTCCAAAACTCCCTAGAAATATTAGTGCATGTTTCTCATGATACTTTGGAATCAGAATGGATGTAACACTGATATCCTGCAGCCTCAGAAAAAAATAACTCTTTGGTATCATTCTTCAGCCAGTGCTAGAAATGGATCCATCCTCATTTTAGCTGATTTTCAGTGCAGATTTGGGTGCAGGATTTCAGATGTGGATCCCTTTTTAATTACCACTAATCCTCAAATGCCTGATCCTTCACAGTTTAGGAGGTGCAGTGAAATTCCCCCCACAAACCTGGACATGCACTGACCACTTGGAAAAGAGAGTTTGGTCAGGTGATAAACACTTCCAACCCCTTGGAAGGGCCAGTGACAAGGAGAAATACTCCTGGGTGGCCCCAGGAGGGACTGACTACCACTGATTTCACCCAAATTTCATGCACAAATCTCTCTGGAATTCTAAACACCCTGCACTGAACCCCATCTTTCTGTACATATGGAGTAGAGTACCACAAACATTTGGATAAGTAAGAGGGATGTGAGGAGAGAAAAAGGGGCAAAATGACTCTCCAAAGTCTGAATTTCTGGGGATCAGCTCTTACCTGTGTCTGGTGCACTTGAACCAGTTGAGGATGTCTGTGCATCGTGTGTAATAGATCTGATCAAAGGGGTGAGCATAAGATTCCTGCACTGTCACAGCATAGCTGGAAAAGGACACAGAAAGAAAGTTTCAGTGCCCTGGATATGCTGCTCACCAAGGTTCAGGGGGAAAAATAATTACATCAATAATCTTAGAAACTTTGGTTGTTATCAAAGAGCACAAAAGGGCTTCCTTCAACTACAGCTCTTCCTGAAAAGTTTGGAAGTGGAAACTGGTATCAGTATGAGCAATGAAACCAGTTTCTTTCCCCTTTTGGAAAAGAAACAAATGGTACTAAAATTCATGGAAGTTTAGAAAGTGAAATGTGCATTTGGTTAATTTATTAGTGCAAATTTTCAAAGAGAGGAAACCACCATGTTTTTAGAATGTCTCAGTTGCCTTCCTGGCTGGAAGTTAATCTTTTTCTTGTGTTCCCCACAGCAATAAGGGCTCACATTCCCTCAGCACTCTGCCAGCAGGATGGGATGCTCCCACTTCATATTGTGATGAAGCAGCACCATTACTTCAGATATTGGGTTCACCAAGCAAATAAAATGATCAGCAAAAAGTAGAAGAGTGTTTATTTTTGTGCTGCACAAATTAAAGCCTCTTCATTTGTAGCAGAAATAATCTCAGAATTACCTGCAAACTGCCACAAGAGGTAAGTGGTGTTTAGATTTGGAACACTGGGACAGAGGGTTGGAATGGGATCACCTCCCCTTGTGCAAATGAAGGGATATGGAGGAAAACTGGGCAATTTGACTGGAAATGAGAGCTCCAACAACACTAAGAATTCAGCAGCCTCCACCCCAAAACACCAGTCAGCCATGCAACAAGTTCCATGCTAAGTCCTGTGATTATACTGGCAGTGTTTGGGCCTCTCAAGTGACCCAGGAACCCAAACCTCCTGGAGCTGTGTCAGTCCTTCCAGAGCCTTGTTCTGCCCCACAGGGAGGGTGTGCCCTGCCAGGGGATTCACGTGCCAGGGGCTGACCTGCAAACAAGCCCCACTTTATCAGGGCTCCAATCCACACTGAAATCCTGCCAGGCAGGGCCAGGACCCAGGAATTAGATCCTCTGGGTCAATCATTACATTGATTGTCTTAATCCTCCAAGTGATTTCCCTCTCCTCTGCTGATGTGGTTAAACCCTGAGAGGCTGCACCCAAAACATTTGCTTGGAGGGTCTGATTGGCTTGAAATCCAAGATTGGGCTGTTCCTGCCCTGCTTGTCTTGTCCCCTCTAGACAAGCCAACCCCAGATGTTCCATTGTCCTCTGTCACAGTTTTGACAACAATGTTTTTACTTCTTTAATACCAAAAAGTAAAATATTTACATTGTTCCTTATTAATGTAAAACACTCACAAACCTTGATTATTATTTCACAATCCCGTTTATTATCCAGCAACAGCCCTAACAATCTTTTTCCCTTTGATTTATTAACATCTAACTAACAAAGTCATCTTGGTCAGTACAACCAATCAATTTTGGTATTTAATTTTTGTTTCTCCTTGATTGGGTCCCGAGGTTGCTGACTTTCTTCAGACAAAATCAATATTTTATTCCTGTGCTCTGCATGCACTTCACCTCCCCACACAGACTGCAAATCCCTTCTCCTGCCCAGCCTTTCCTTTGCACTTGCATTACCTACAAACAGTTAATTCCCTAATTAAGGCCTCAAAACCCAGTGTCATTAAAATATGATTCTATTTTTGCTCTTGTGAAGGGGTTTATTTTGCTGAAGTGTACATCAGTGTGGGATTAATAGAAGTGGAAATTTAGCAAGTTAAACAAGTGCAGGACCTCTGGCCTCTGCAAAGAGCCCCTGCATGAAGGTGAACCCCAACACAGCTTGGGGGTCTCTCTGTGCTCACAGAACTGTCCTGCTCAGAGCCACTTTTAGGACACTGGAACAATGGAGAGAACAAGAATTACCTGTAAGGGCCTTTCATGCACTTTTTGATGCTGACACGGATTTGGAAGGCAGGGCCACAAAGTTCAGGCCATGCAGAAACAGCCCCAGTGTTGCAGCAGGAAGGGCTTCAAACTTAGTCCAGATCAACAAGTTTTGCTCAACAACAACCAGACAGAAGCAGGACAGCACAAGGCCAGCATTTCTGTAGGTCTCTCCATGATAAATGCAAACAATTCTCCAGCTCAAACTCTGGAGAAGCTTCCCAAAGGACACAACACAGGGATCCATGTTCTGTAGCTGTAGCTTTAGAACAGTTCTTTGGGATGCTCCAAAACCTCCGAGGCACTCAAAAGTACAATTCCTGTAGAGCAAACCCCTGTTCTTTTCTGAGACAAGGTGGTATTTAGCAAAGTGTGGCTCTCAGTTTGCCTTTGAAATGGTCAGCAAAAAAAATAAAAACTGGCAGGTGACACCTTACCTTTCCCAATGACTACAAACATTTGGATCATCTGGATTTAGGGACAGAGTAGTTTTCAGCAGAAAAGTCAAGATAAGCCCTTTTAGAATCCACTGGAACAGTGTAAGTGCCACCATTGTTGTATCTAGATGGAAAAAAAGAAAGTAGAGCCATTAAAGCCAATTTTGAGGAAAACATCCTTCTCCAGCCTTTTCCTCTTTACTTTTGTGCAAGTCCAAATCCTGGGGAGTTATTCACAAACTGAAACACTTGAAAGAGCAATCAACTAAAAAATATAATTTTTTAAAAGTTCAAATCCATTCTAAAAGGAATTTATACATTTCAACCTAATAAACCCAATGAATTAGATGATCAAGCTACCCAAGGTATTGACAGCCCCAATGATTCCTCCAAAGAACATTTCTGATACTGATCGTTTTTATGACTGGCTGTCTGTGCTGACAAATAAATCACTGAGGTATGAAACAATCTGTTCTCCCATCGAGCTATAGGCAAGTGGAAGAACACCCAAATGCCCCCTTTGATTTATTTAAATGGGGTTTACAGGTGTCAATAGAACAGGCTGGGGCTGAGAAATGATTATTGCGTGAAGGAAGGAAAATCAATGCACTTTTCAGGTCTTAGATGGGGAATCACTTACAATGCATTGGGGCCCATTATGCAGAACACTGAACATGAATTAAAAATATTTGCATTGAAGCTGAAAAGACATTGTATCAAATTCATTAGGTGTGGTCTCTTCATCATCTTACTGTTCATCTGTTCAATGTACTGACTCACACCTGCTTGGGGCTTTGAAACCAAAGTTGTGGTGTTTGCCCAGAAGTCCCCAATGACTTCAGTCAAAAAATACAAAATACATAGGAAATACAGAGTTGCTTTTAAATGTAACAGCATCAGAGGTGTTAATCTGTAAAACATTCAGTCAGGAAAAAGTATTTTTAAATATCCACTTCAGGCATTTAACGTGGACACATAATTCACCATTCAAATCAGAAGTCCTAGAAATTATTCCTGGCAAGGAGATTGCCCTAAAAATAGTCTGAATGTTCATATGATCATCAAAAAAACACATGGCTCATTGCCTCGTGGTCCTGAGCAGCCCAGGGATGTGAAGAGGTTTGCTCTGCAGGGCACTGATATACAGCCCAGCATAAAGAGCCCATCACAAAGTAGAATGAAGAGCCAGGAAAGCTGCTCTGAAATTACCTCCTGACTCAAAGCCTTCTTAGCCACTTCAAGGACACCCGTTGTGAATTTGGAGTCAAAATCCCAGTGGGAGCAATAGTTCATCCTTTAAATTATTCCTCGAGCTCTGCTAAACCCAGAGATAGGTCTTAAGCCATGTAAGTCATATTAATGTTAATTAACATGATTTAATGTTAATGTTCCTCATGAAGTGGATTTAAGTCCAGCAGTGACCATTCCTTACCTGAGGGCTGTCCCAAAGCCCCACTGGAACAATGCAAAAGCTCCCTCTGGAAATCCAGAGGGCTGACGAGGCAAGGGGGTGTTTATGGAAAAGCCATTTTCCCCCTTTGCCCTAGGAACTGCTTCTCCATGGAGAAAAAGTGTCCTGAAGTGCCCATGGGACACAAATCCACCAACCCAATGTTCAAACACTCGGAGCTTGTTGGAGAGCAGAGCTGGACTTTCTCTGAGCAAAACAGGGATCAATGGGCATGAACCACCCAAGGATGAGGCTCCTCAAGCTCAGAGACAACCCTTTAACACAAATATCATCCAAAGATGCCTTTAACTATCCCACTGCCACCATTTGAGTCATGCCAAAGTGCAGGGGACAGGTTTTCCTGAGCACTGTATTTATAGGTTTTAATTGACCCCCTTTCTTCCTTCTCCACGGCTTTGGGACGGCCAGGACTGAGCAAATGGGGGAGAGAAGAGTTCACTTCAAGACAACTCTGCTCAAGCAAAAGCAAACCTTCAGAGAAAGGGGGGTTTAAATCAAAACTCAGCTCTGTGCTCACCTTAACTCCTCGAGAGCCTCAGCAGTTTGGGTTGGGGCTGAATTAATTACAGGAGGAAAGACAACCTGCCTGGGAACAGGGACTTTATCGCCCGCTCGTCGCCTTCCATCAGTTCTCAGCAACTGAAAGGTAAATAATAATTAATTCCAAGTAGAAATCAAACTTCTCCCCCACTCTAATTTCTTCTCCTTCAGTAGCAATTGAAGGTAGTGCCCTTGAGTCCAGGAGAAAGCAAACTTTCCAGAAAGATTTGCTTATAATGCACTGGATGCTGAGAAAGATGCTCTTAAGATCATCCATTCCTGCTGGAAATTACAGGCTTTTTATATTCAATTTTATATAACCTTTATATTAAAGTACTCCCTAAAAAAATACAAATAAATGAGAATAGAGTCCTGCTGCCTCACTCACTCTGAAGAGAATGAGACCTCTCACATTTCACTAAAGCAGCCACATATTTGAATTCTGTAGTTCTCAGAGACCTCAATTTGTTCTTAAGAAAATGATGTGTCAGTTTAGTTTTTAAATCAAACAAACACCACAGAATTATTTATAAGCCTTAATAGCACCTGGCATATTTTTTTGCAATGTATTTGAAAGAGGTTCTAAATTGTTTTCTAAACTTTTAATGCTAATGCCATTTTATTATCTGTTTGTAATGGAGCTGCTTTGTGCCAATAATTTCCTAAATTTGTAAGTCAGATCATAGATCAGAACCATCCAACTCCCCAAATCCAGCAGAACCTCATTCATCTCAAGTGTCTCTTTTTGTACCTCAGATGAAATATTTCACTTTGATCACCGTTAATAGAAAAGCCCTCACACCAAAATGGAACGGTTGCTATTACAAGAGTCAGAATAAAACTCTAAAAATAGGAGCACATTTATTAAAAACCAACATCAAAAAAGAGCCCAGGAATGACACCTAATAGTGGGTTTGCAGCTTGCCTTGCTCACCACAGCACACACTGAATTCCTGCCCTGGGTCATGTTCTCCAAAGAGGAGCATCAACCAGCCTTCCAGGTTCCTGGAATGTCATTAAAGATACAGCCAAATTATATCCATATTTCCAGGGCCTGCCCCTCTCCCAGGACAGGCAATCAGCATAATTGACACAAAGGTCCTCTGTGTAATCCCCACGTGGACTCTGACTTCACGCCTCTCCAGGGTTGATTTTTCCTTTCAGGAGTGAAAGGAGTCAATTTAGGTACAATTTAGCAAGAAAGAGACTCTTTCAATGCAAAATACAACCTGGTGTTCTTTCACAAGTGTCTCGCTCGCTGTTAATTAGAACTCATCAGGTATCTGGTGCTCATTAAGGCCATTTTCTCATACCTGGTTCCTTTCTGAATAAATGTCAGTATTTCACTTACAATACTGATACAGGTCACTGGTTCCATCACAGAAAAAAAGCCTCAGATCTTAACTATAGGAAATCTTGTAGGTGGCAAATCATTAATTTATTTGTCTATGGAGTCACTTTACAAACACTTTTGTTGAGGAAACTCTGCTGGGGTTTGCAAAGACACCAGGAGATGCAGATGATCCTTTAAATTAGACGACCATGTGGCCCATGTGCAAAGAAAATAAGACCTCAAAGAATCCTTGCTGGGTGAAATAAATAACCTATAAAGCTTTTTCTGGGTGTTGAGGACCTGGTTTTGGTCACATTCTTATGCACTTTAAGCGGCTGAGGGGAGAAAAAGCAACCCAAAACCACAGGTTGAATTTCTCCTCTGCTTCCCTGGCTGACAGGCTGGAAAATCCAACTAAAAATGACCATTAGAGACTTTCCTGTTCAGGGCCAGAGGTGGTGAAACATTTCACTTTGACATCTCTGTCATAAAATATTTCATAACGTGACTTCGACATGAAATTCAAACAGAGTTTCCAGTCCATGACAGAGCTCTAAATTGAAAGCTTTTCTCTCAATTTGGGGTGAATTGTGCTCTAAGCCAGGCAGAAAACCCTAATTTGATGTCCAGCTGTAAACAGGGAAAACATTTACAGAAGTGGCTTTCCCTAGCAGGCAATATTCTTAAATCCTGGTGTGCTTTTGAAGATGTTTAAATGTCCACGCAGCCAATTAACCTTGCCAGAATTTTTCCCACCAGTTTCCAAGTGATGTCGTGTTAAAATTCTTACCTCAAAGTGCTAAAAATTCCCAGTGGATCCTGTTTTTACTCCTCCCAGCCCATGGAGACACCCAGCACGTTCCCAGGATAGCAGGAGAAAGCTCCTGGATGCTGCTTGGCCCTGGGAAGCATGAATTAGGAAAACACTGGTCAGAGGGAGCGTGTTTGGGGGAGTGGGAACAAATCAAGGCAGAAAGGAGATAAATCCTTGCAAATAATTAGATATCCCAACGTAATTGTGCCATATCACACCCAATACCATTATCCTGCTTCCAGGCAAAGTGACCAGGAAAGGATTTAAGAACAAACATCCCTTTTACACCCTCCCAGCCTCCAGAAATTTGTTTCCTTATCATTTCCCACAACATTTTGTTTACATAAGGACTTTTCCTTGTGTTAACATCCCAACAAGAAAATTTAATTCCTTTCAGGAAGTTTGATGAAAGACCTTGCAAAAGCCTTCTGGAATTCTAACAGCATCTTCTTGATCTACATATTTCCTTCAAAGAGCTTTAACAACTTACAAAGCCTTTACAAAGCCACGCTGATTCTTCATAAACGTATTATATTTATCCAGATAAATCATTTTCTGTGCTGAATTACAGTTTCTACCAAATGTGCACCAAAATTAAAATGGGTGCTAGTATTTGGGTGTGAGCAATGGAGGAAAATGCAAGAGAATAGTTAAGCCAGGAAACAAAAAGTTGGATTTCACTGGAGAAGCATTAATGGGATGGAGGATTTGCTGATTCCAGGATTTCAGTCTCTAAGTAGCAGCAAGCTTCCAACAAGCTGCCCTTGGTGCTATCCCTCCTTCTCATCCCATCTGAAATTTTCATGATAGTTTAGGCAAGGGATCATTTAAACACACACTTCATTTGGCTCCACAGCAGGTTTTGCTCGAAACAAGCTGTTATGAAAGCTAAATGAGGCCACGAGTTTCAAAACTCATCGGGGTTTTTTGGATGCCTCCATTTAGGATTAATAACTTGAGATACCACGAAAGGGCTGAAAAAAAAAAAAGCAGAGCTTGGGATACATGCTAAGAAGAGCTTGTTTTACTCTGGGCAGTCAAGAACAAATCCATTCAACCTCACCAGTCACCTCTAAAAGTTGTTGTCGTGACCAACAGAAATATTGCCAATGACAGGCTGCGGTTTTGTTTGTTTTTTAATGAAAATTTAAAGCTGTTTTAAACAGATAAACACTTCCAGGAAGGCTCAGGTACAGAATACAAAAACACTGACAATGTGATTCTTATCATCCGAGCACAGAGAAATCCAAGGGATGGAAGAAGGAGCAGAAACACCAGACTGTGCTCTGGGTTCCCTCCACTGGCATCTCACACAATTAACGAGGGAAAGGGAAGACAAGAATTAACATGTCATTAACATGGCTTGGGAAATGAAAGAATAAAAGCAAAATTCAGAGGTTTGCACAGTTTAGAGGGCAGACATCAGGTACAAAGAGCTGCACCCTGAGTCCTGTTTGCTCAGTCTCAGCAGTCACCACCTCTGCTACATCATTCCCTAAGCAGGAGCTGGTCAGCACCAAGGAAGGCGCCAATTCCATTTCCCAAGATGTCATTTTAGAAGGTTTTTCTTTAAAGCACACCAGGGTCCCAACTGCTGCAGTGCCCTCATGACCCCCCCTCACATTCTTTGAACCACAGTTGCTCAGTTTTCCATAACTGGGTGGGGGGCTGATTTCAGTGGGATCTGAACATCCCAATCTCTTCAAATTTCTGAGCTGTAAAATACCCCAGTGGGAGCTGCAATTGGTGCAGTGAACACTGTTACAGTGCCACGGAGAACTTATGGAGCCTGAAGATCTGCTTTGGTGGTAACACCCTCACCAGCTGATTTCTGGAGTCACTGGGAGCTTGGCTAGAGCAAAGCAGGAATAAATAATGAAGTCAGAGCTCCTCGACCTATCAAATGTTATTTCTGGAAGCTCAGGATTGTTCCTTCAGTGACCTCAGAGGAAAAGTGGGTCAAAATACCACAGAGACATGTCACTAGGCAAGGAATCTGGGCAATTCCTTTAGTTATGGCTAATGAAGTATGTTTGTCAAGACAAGAGTCTGTGTGTCTGAGACTGTTTAAATCACAGTGGCAAAGATTTAAGCCCTGGTGCTGGTTTAGCAGAGTGGGCTGGGCTGAGGTGGTTCAAATTCCACGAGAATTTTGCATCCAGTGTTTTCTGTAGGTCAGCACTGAGCCTTCAGCCACAGCCACCAACAGCAGCAGGCTTTGGAACCTCAGGTGGCATTTAGGACACACAAGTTCCCAAAGTCTCAGTATCTTCCAGAGGGGAAGAGCACAGGCTGTCCTGCCAGGTGCTTTAAAAATCAGCTTATCACAAACTGAAAGGTGATTAGATACTGAAGCAACAACGTGTAAACATGTCTGGCGTTTGCCATCCACTCTGTGAGATCCACACCAACACACACACAGAGATGCAGACCCAGGATTTTGTCAGCATTACACAAACCCCACCAGCCCTTGTGCAAAGCACAACTACCAACCCAAAGAGCTATTATTCACCACCACACTGAATTTCCTTTTCTGAAATAATTGAATAGTTAATCAATAGTCCAGCAGAAATATAATGAAAATATTACATTAACAACACCTAAAAACATTGCTGAACCGGTGCCCAAAGCCAGATAACTGCTGGCTCCTTTTCAGGAAGGTCAGCTTGGAAAAAGATTATCTGTGATTTTCTGCCCATAATTTCGTACTTGTACTCAACTACCAGTGTAAATTTGGAAGGCAGCCCTTTGAACAGTTGGCCCTTGAAGTTATTAATCCAAACTCAGGCCCCCTGAAACCCTCGTGTTCCTCCCAGTGCCCAAGCCCTGAGCTGCTCTTCCAAGCCCTGCCAGTCCGGACAGGGGATGGTTGATGTTCCAACGGCGCTTCCTGCCAAAAGCAAGTTGGTGTTGGCAGGATTTGAGAGCAAAATCCTGGGCCTCTGAAGTATTTCAAGAGAAAACAAGATCTCTCCTGCAAGCTGAGAGATCCTCCCGGGGCAGCCTTCTGTGAACCCTCTCCACTAAAACACGGTAAACAAGGAAAGTCTGGAAGAGCCACTTTGTGCATTTGGCTGCTCAACCCTCTGCGCTGATCCCACCATCCCAGTGCTCCAGGAGGGATGGCAGGGAAGGCAGGCAGGCTCTGATACCCCTCTACTGATCCCAGTCCTCTGCTCAGTGGAATGTTAAAGCTCCTGAAGCTGTGTGGGGAGTCACTGGCTCCTGACTGAACAGTATATTTATTTTTATATATATTTATATCCCCTATCCCATGAATATTCCCGAGATGCCTCCACAGACATTCCTTCAGAAGAGAAAGGAGCTGACACACATCAAAAAACCTCAACTCCTGAGAAGCCAAGTGAGCTTGAAGTGAGCTCACACGCAGCCACCCACCCAAACAATTGCAACATGGGTTTCCTCAGACACTTGGAGAGCCACAACGGCCTCGTGTCCCCAGAACACCCAGCATAAATAAAGCAAACATTTTTCTAAATATTCTAAATATTTAGTTAAAAAACCCCAACCATTTATGGCAAGTGAATTTTTCACAGCATTGAAAGAGTGCACATGAAGTTGACCTGAAAATGGGAGTAAGGAGCAATGAAATCAAAGGGTGTTCAACAGACACACAGTGAAATAAATAAACTGTCATTCTCTGAAAGTCAGGAAACAAAAAAAAAGTGGTTTGAAAATGTAGAATATCTTTTATGGTTATATATTTTTTAAAATTACTTCTATTTGTCAAGAACAATTGGACCCTTCTTTTTGTCTTCATTTATCTCAGTGGAAAATAAAATGGAACAAAGCAAAAAAGTCCCAAGTACAGTGAACAGCTGAGCCAGGGACAAATTAAGTAACACAGATTGATGGCTGTTGATCTCCAGCAGCACCATCACATCCCAGTGCTACAGCTCATATTTCATTTAAAGACCTGTCTCTCCTTTTCCAAACAGTGCAGTATTTCTGGGAGAAGGCTGATTTGCAAGCCTTGGAGCTGCACTGAGAATCCAGACTCAGTTTTCCCAATTTGGCTTTAAAGTTGGTGGATTCCTTGAAGTTTTGGGGTACCAACTGAAATAAAGCAAAACCAAACACTGGGATAAAATGAACACTGAAGCTGAATATGAATTTTTTTTAAAAATGCTGCTTTTTATCTTCAGTATCTTTATAAAACAGGAAGGAACCAATGTTTGCTACCTCTTCCTCTCTACCTTTGCTGACCCCACTGGTCCAATATGTTCAGCTGCTCTCCTGGGGGTTTTCCCAGAGCTTTATCCTCCCTGGCATTCCCTGCTACAGCAGCACGTGGATGTCCCTCTTCCCACATTCCATTTTCCTCTCAGCCTCTTGCAATCTTCACCTAAGAGTTTTTAACTCCATAGATATTGAAGACATTGATAGCCCATCCAGAATATAAATTTTTCTACAGATGTCTGTTAAATATAAATGTTAAATCAATTTTTACATTTCTAATGGCTTAAGAATTAGAGCGGCCACATAAAAACTGCCAATTTTACTTGAAATAAAAGAGCTTTCCTCAGAAGCTGCAACAACCCTTTGTGTTTTCCTGTGTTTCTTACAGGACATACATGGAGTGGCATCAATACTGGAGGGTTGGTATTTGGTTCAAGCATCTCAAAGCTAAAAGCCTCAACTTTGGGGTCCACAAAATGTACCTGATTTTCAGAGCCCAAATCTGTGTCTGAGAATCAGGGTGTCACTCAGCTGCCTGGCTAGAAACTCCTGGATTTGGGCATCCAACATGGAAAACAGGCTGAGCAGATGTGCCCTCCTCTAGGACACAGAGCTGTGCCATGGAGAAGGTCCTGGTGTGGGAAGGTCTTTGCAATCCCTGCTGGTCACTGCTGTGAGGGGGAAAAGAGCTGCAGAATATTGCTGCTTAACTATCCACAGTGCCTAAAGCTCATCTCCCAAAAAACACCTCTAAAGGAGGCTCAAGATGCACAGGAAAATGTGAGGTCATTTATGTCCCAGCAAGGCAAGACTCAGACCCCAAATCCCTTTCCATGCCGTGACTCCCCTGTGAACCAGGACGGAGAGTGCTGGGCATCAAGGGTCCC